ATACACACAAACGATTGGTATCCTTGATTGAGTAATTAGCATTACTGTTAGAATCTCTCTTTCTATCCTTTCAGTCCACTCAAACCCATTGTAGGTAATCAAGCAGATCCTAGGGTGGCAAAAAGTATTAAATTGGCCAGGCAGTATCCATTTGCCAGAGAGGGTCCATACACAACCCAAGGCAGTATGAAATTGGCCAGGCAGTATCCATTCACCAGAGAGGGTCTATACAGCTTGGCCAATTTCATACTGCCTTTTGCCACCCTAGGAGATTACAGTGTAGGCACTTCTGAGCTGCCTTGATCTGATGTTGTTGCCTACTTACCAGTCATCAGGTTTAGTTTTAATGAGAAGTTTGCCGACTTGGTTCCAGATTTGAAGGATGACCCGTTTTACCAAAATCCGACCCTGAAAGGGAGAAAGAGCACCAAATGCCCCCCTCCCCCTTCAGAAGCTCCAAAGGACTGGCTGAGGAAGCCTATACCGGCACCTAGACGAGCCACTAGCAGGTAAGACATTCTTCACTTAATACGTCGATGAAACTTAGACATCCAGGTAATAAGATATGCCAAAAAACAGTTACTCAAGCAACTGGATATGATTTTGGACAGTTGACCGTTGACGGTTTCCAAAATCACATCGAGTTGCTTGAGTAACTGGCATATTCTTCACTTAACTTTGTTAATTCATTGAGCCACATGAGGCCCTGTTGCAGAGGACAACCTTCCTAGAATCTTTGGACTCGAAGCACCAGCCTTCATCACAATTTCCACCAAGATCACCAAAAGACTATATATCTTTCTACTAAATGTTTCTATCAAAAGACTATAATATTATAAATTATATTTCTACTAAATGTTTAAAGACTATATAATGTTTCTACTAAATATGCCACTGGGTAAATACTATTAATTCATTATCTGCTAACTTACTCACTCATCAATGATGATTAAGTCAAGTTTCGTGTCCAAAGGCTGAGGTTGCAACATGGCAATGGTAAGGATTCACTGTGTGGACTAAGATAAACAGTATGACATGGAAACGTCCATTCCCTCCTTGTTAGCAGATACATTTTGTGATTGTCTAAATTAAATTGTATTTGCCAACTTCTGCTTCTTCCTAGCCAAGATTTGTCTGCAGATGAGCATTATGAGGAAAGTCCGACTGTGGAGCTGTGTGATCAAGAGCAGCAGCCGGACAACGGCCAAAAGAAAGATGTAAGTAAACTGTGAGATATCTTATTCACATTATTAATTGTAGTCTCTATAACAATGGACAAAACTTACTCTTTGACGTAGCCTCCAAATTCAACCCTGACTTTCACACATATACAAATGAAAACTATTCTCCTCTTAGCATCCAAAACCCCACAAATTATAGAAAAAGTGGGATCCTTTGTCTTCCTCTGTCTTTAAGAAGTCAAACCCAGTAGTTTTTACCAGTAGTTTCTTAGGTCATTAGTATTTCTCTGTACATGTGTATCAATTGCCTGTTCTTATACCAATGTTTCTTCTGTTCTTGCAATTAGCCATCGGGCATGAAACATATAGGCACTGATGTTTTTTATCCCATGTCACAGATCATGAGTGTGTTGATGGACAAAACCCTGGAAGAAGACAGTCTGGGACTGCCCAAGGAGAAGTGGGAGAAAATGCTGCTGCTGCTGTGCTTCCCCAGCCCCCTGCAGAACGACTGGAAAGACCTCGCATCCAAACTAGGTATTACAAAATGTACTTTCAAAAAAGTCTGTTCCAGTCTGTTCCAGTGGTATTGTTTAGTGTCACGATTCTTCATGTAGATACTAAATAAAGCAAGTGTGGGGTTGTGTAGCGTGGCGGCAGCATGCACAACTCGGAACCAAGAGGTCCCGGGTTCGAGTCCTGACATGCCACCGATCTTGTGCCCTAATGGGAAAGACACTTAACACAACTTTCCTCACTTAACTCAGGCGAAAATGAGTATTGTCCTATTCCGTATTTGTCCTTTATCTGCATTGGTGACAGCATAAAATAAGTTCATATAACTTGAGTTTACTGTCACCATGTCTAGTCATGAAATGTTGGCATAAAAAAATAATAAAAATAAAAAAACAAAGCAAGTGATGTATTTGTGGTTTAGCCTGGTGTCCAGCCTGGTTAGCTTTGGTCCACTCCCCAAGACCCACTACCCAGCAGCTGGGTAGCAGATAGCAGATCTTGGGGAGTGGACCAAAGCTAACAAGGCTGGACACCAGGCTATTTGTGGTTCTTAGTGTCTCAGTGTCTAAGTTTGGTAGATTCTTCTTGATCCTGTCAGTATGCATGCCTTACGTGGAGCGTAGCGCCTCACCAAGTTGTCTCCCAGGAAGCTGTGCCCTCTGCAAGGCTGTGGCTACATCGAGACCCACAGTGCTCAGGTCTAGCCTGAGTGTCAGCCTTTTTAGCTTTGGTTTGGTCCATTCCCCAAGATCCACAACCCAGCAGCTGGGTAGCGGACAGCAGATCTTGGGGAGTGGACCAAAGCTAACAAGGCTGGACACCAGGCTATTTGTGGTTCTTAGTGTGTCCGTGTCTAACTTAGATTCTGCTTGATCCTGTCTGTATGCATGTAGTACGTGGCAGCCTTCCTATTCCTAGTAGTTTAAATTTCTAATGCCAGTCGAGTTCACTTACCTGATTGGCAATGGCAATGACCTGTCTTTTTGGAATAATCAAAACTTGTCTATTGTTTTTACTCAGGTCTAACCAATACAGATGTGATGTTACTGGAAAGTGTAAGGGAGAACTACAAGAAGCTCCCTGCTCGATACGTCTTCAGGTGACTTTTTTTCTTACAGATTTCTTGGACGTTTTATTGACACGTCAACAAGCAACAGTAGACTTTCCAGCAAACTGATGAGCAATTTGAGTACAAAACAAGTAAAAACGGTCAAAGAAAGTTTATAGCAAATTGATGTACTGCGCAACAGTTTAGTTAGTTCAAGTCCTTCCCACACTAGGTGGTGCATAGGGCGGCACCCATCTCTGTTTCAATAGCCCTTGGGCCACACAGCAGTGCAATCACTACAGCAGGGGGCTAATCTACTGGTAGTGGTGTGCATTTAATTCCCATACTCTTTCTCAAATGCTCAGTGCTAAGCAGAGAAAGCAGTATGTACCATTTTTTAAGTCTTTGGTAAGACTAGGCTGTGGATTGAACTCACATTCGACCGTGTGGCAAAGCGAGCAATCTACCCACTTGGCCATTGCACCAGTGTGAGTCAACAGTAAGAGCGCCAAATATTCATCTCAAAAGAGACTGACTGTCTTACCCTACAGTTTCCCTTTCTACGTATGTCTTCAGGTACTGGCAGAAACACAGGCCCCTCCCCTACAACCGACAGGAGGTACAGAGAGTACTGGTGGATCTGGAGAGGCTGGAACTGGCTGGCATGTTCGATGACTACTGCCGTCTACCCATTAAACGTGTCTCGTAACGGCATTCATATGCATGTGCAGTCAAAGCTGAGCTAGTGACTGGCTGTTGATGTGCAATCTAATCTGTACTGGTGACCACCTCTACATAAGGACCACCTGGCCAATGATATACAGTCAAACCTGTACTAGTGACCACCTCTACATAAGGACCACCTGGCCAATGATATACAGTCAAACCTGTACTAGTGGTCACCTCTACAAAAGGACCACCTCGCCATTGATGTAGTCAAACCTGTATAAGTGACCATCTCTGCATAAGGACTACCTGGTCATTGATATACAGTCAAACCTGTACTAGTGGTCACCTCTACAAAAGGACCACCTCGCCATTGATGTAGTCAAACCTGTATAAGTGACCATCTTTGCATAAGGACCACCAGGCCATTGATATACAGTCAAACCTGTACTAGTGACCACCTCTACATAAGGACCACCTGGCCAATGATATACAGTCAAACCTGTACTAGTGACCACCTCTACATAAGGACCACCTGGCCAATGATATACAGTCAAACCTGTACAAGTGACCACCTCTACATAAGGACCACCTGGCCATTGATATACAGTCAAACCTGTACTAGTGACCACCTCTACATAAGGACCACCTCGCCATTGATGTAGTCAAACCTGTATAAGTGACCATCTTTGCATAAGACCAGCTGGCCATTCATATACTAACAGTGAAACCTGTACAAGTGACCACCTCTACATAAGGACCACCTGGCCATTGATGTAGTCAAACCTGTATAAGTGACCATCTCTACATAAGGATCACCTCGCCATTGATGTAGTCAAACCTGTATAAGTGACCATCTTTGCATAAGGACCACCTGGCCATTGATATACAGTCAAACCTGAACTAGTGGCCACTGCAGCATGAGGACGACTTGGCCATTGATGTACAGTCAAACCTGTACAAGTGACCACCTGTACATCAGGACTACCTGGCCATTGATGTACAAGTGAACACCTCCACATAAGGACCACCTGGCCATTGATATACAGTCAAACCTGTACTAGTGACCACCTCTACATAAGGACCACCTGGCCTAGCCTCCGTCGCAGTCTTGTTGGGCGTGGGCGTTATTTTTGTGAGCGACGCGAGTAATATGCTGCCGCGAGGGACGATTTGCTGCCGAGGGAGTTTTTGCCGCAGAGAGGTTTTGCGCTCGTTGTTGGCCATTGATGTACAGTGAAACCTTTACTTATCTGGATCGAAGCCGGATCAATGCAAATCTATCTAGCTCGATCCGGACAATTCTATCCTAGAAGAAAAAGGACCTATGAACTGCCTGGACATTGATATGCAGTCCTGTTTTGTAACATCATTCACAGTCTCAAAACATGTAACATTGTACTCGAATTAATCCTTCTTGGTGGCTGGCAGTTTTCTATGTTTTTTACTGTTTTGCATTGTAAAAATCCATGGGTGGGGCCGATCACAACCCCTACAGTTAGTAACAAGATGTGACAAAGGCTCTGTAACAAAAATATCTGAGAAATTATTGCAATAGTTATATGGTGGACAAGACCCTTAGTAGTCTTTCAAGTCAGTGGCAATTGCAACAGCACTCTTTGTAGGACGATCCCAACCATTAGTTGTATGGAGATTTTAGATATTGTAGGACGTAGCTATAGGCAATATGAGAAAATTTAAAGCTGTACAGATTCAGATAGTTAAACCTTTATTACTTCTTGCATGTCCTCACATGTACCTGTACATATGTACAATGTGTTACAAGCTACCAGTGCAAAGTTGTCACGGACATTGATGGGTAGTGTAAGGCTATTACTGGCTATGGCTTTTAATCTCCTGATTTTTTAACTAAATACTAGGAATATGCATGGTGCATTTGTACACCTTTAAAAGAGAGAAGGTTAAAGGTTTTAGTTTCCATTTATTAAAAAAAAACTTCATAACAGATGTACATGAAATTAGTTGATATTTACAGTGATGCAGTACATATTAATTGCAAACAGGTCAATGCATGTAAAATGGGTGCGATATATATTGTCAGCTTTGAAAATATTATACATTTGATCACTTACTGCTCCCATCAAAGTGTTTAAACAAATTGAAAACAACATGACAGTGAAGATATAATGCTGTTAAGTATGTAACAAATATGATTTATATCAGGCCAGGGCAATCAGGGAATTTAGTGATTCTGCCAGTAGAACTTTTCAACTTCGATTTGTGTCACTTAACTCACTTTACATCAATTGTTTTGAGATGTAGGATTTAATGTAGGATACTGCCCTAACATAGTCTCCACTAGACTCCTTGGCAGGCTGATTAAATAGTCCAAATCGGCCTAAAAGGGGTTAGCATGCTAGTAATTGGCCAAAGACTGAGGTAGAAATTTGCCTGCCAAGGAGTCTGATGGAGACTAGGCCTAATACATTCCTAACATAGGTAGAGGTACTTCAGAACCCGCCAGATCGCAATCTTCAGTCTAACATTTCATTTATCTACTAAACGATAGCTAGTTCCAATGTTTACTGATACTGCCTGAAATTCCTGGCTCTGTTAAATACTTGAGCACCTTATCCAGTTGTCTGGTGTATTTTGTATAATGTGTAATGTGCCCCAGTCTAACCTTCATCAATGTACTTTATATTGTCTAGGAACAAGTTATTTTGTGGGAAAGGCCTTGCAATAATGTATTTTGTCTACTTGGTGTACATGTATGTATTCTTTGTACATACCGAAAGTTGTTTTAAGTATATACAGCTGTTCATAAAAAATATAATGATTTTCATATTCATACTTTAAATGCTGCCATCTTTGATAAGGGCTGGTATCACATAAAATCATATATACAGTGTAATATATGTGCCATTCTTTGGTGATGCCAAAATAAAGTTACATCGTAAAAAACTGTGATTCTGTTTTGCTGTGTCTGAGGTAGCTAGTTAGTCAAGCGTAGACGTACATTCCAAAATCAATAATGTCACTGCAACTGAAAATTTGGATATATGCGTTGAAAGAAAGGATAGGCTACCCAGTTTCTTAGGCACTTGAATGTACAATTAAAAGTCAGTTTCAAAGAGATGCTTACTATAGAGACTATTCTGACAGCCTACAGCCTATAGAGTCTATAGCCTGGTTACCAGACCTCCTACATGACTCGGGAGCGATATAATAGGGTAAGCTATTTAACCAGCTAAGTCTAGTCCACTCTTTTCTATATACATGTAACATACACAATGTTTATATAACACACACACACACACTAAAAGTTGTTACTTTGAGTTCATAGACAGATCAGACCAACAGGGCTTGAACAAAAGACAACATCGCAAAAACTGCCACCAAGAGACCCAAAGACCCTCTGTTGAACCCAGCTGACCCCAAACAGTCTGCCCCGGCCCCGTCCCAGCTTACAGAACACCCGAGCTGGGCACTAGTGTTGTCGGGGGACGTGAAGTTCGAGAGGTCACAGGTCCGGCTGACCTGGTCGAAGTGGTCCTGGTCGGCAGGGAAGGCCACGGACAGATAGTTCACCTCGTCTGGGAGGTACATGTCACCTTCACGCTTCAGCAACAGGATGTAGTCTTCACCGATCTCGACTAAGGTAGAAGATATAAAATACGGGTAGATTGTTTTCTCATATCTTATTCACATGCATGAAGTGCATATCTTATTCAATTGCAAGAAGTTTATGACATGGGTGGACAAAATTGACAAAAACCTTGGGAAAAATATAAAAACATCCAAAGTGCCACCAACAGCCACTCTTGAACCAATTATTTGCCTCTAAAAATGTGGGCAATTGTATTTTTAAAGGCTTGAAAATAAAAAATTTGCCCCCGGACCCCCCCTAGATTGTGACCAGTCTCCCCCCAGGTCCAATCAGAACCTAGCCTGGTATCCAGTCTGATCGTGATTGGGGGTATTGGGGTGTTTAGGCAGGTTGTGTCTTCGGGGCCTCTAAGACCTTCCCCCGCCCAGTGCAACAGACCGTCCCGGTAGGAGTGTTACGCTAATTAGAGACAGTATGCTCGGGGATTTGGTTTCCCCCAACACGTGGAGGGCTAATTA